GCGGTTTGAGGCTTCGGTTGCAGCGCCAACATAAAGAAGACCACGCAGGTACTCCAGGCGGCTGTTAGGTACGCAGCTCTACTCGAAACCCAAGATGAACCTCCTAAAAAATGTCCGCTTGCAATATTATGACCCACAGTAGAGAGTCTGATTGGCAAATACTGTGACTTGGAATACTATACGGGGTAAGGGTGCAGTAAGGTGAAAAATGTACAGGCTCTCTTTACCCAAGGTCCGATCGTGTGCAGTACTCACAAATGCACTAGGGGTGTCCGGCGCTTGTCCAAGTCCGAAATTTAGCCTTTGGCCAGTAAAAATCAAGGCTCCAGGTTTAATTCCCCTCTCGTCTTCTAGTATAGTGAACGTTTGACTCCCCATGGTTGAAACGGTCAGGGGATCGGTTCTCTCAGAGTAGGCGATACATGCAATATTGGCGTGCGGACCATCCAAACACCAGCCAACAACGAACTGAAAGGACACTTTACTAACCCCTCTATCATTTCCCTCTGAACCAAAATGTAATTTTAGAAGTTTTTGGCTTCCTGTGCTTAAAGTTCGAGTATGTTTAGCCCTCACCAATGCACCAGGAATGTCTGGCACTTGTCTCAATCCGAGGCTCACACTCTACCCATTAAAAATTTAGACCTCGGGTCTATTGCCTCTCTCATCCTCTAGTTAAGTTGACACTTGAATCCCTATGGCCGATAGGAGAGGCGATCATCCTCTCAGAGCAGACAACGTATCCGCTACTTGCGTGCGAACCAGTCAATGACCAGCCAGAAACGCAGAACTGAGAGGACACTTGACGAAAATCTCAATTTTTTTTGTCTACACCAAAACTTAGGCTGATGCCCGGCAAGATAAAGATATGTTCACTTGCAGTTAAATGACGTCGGCAATATGAACTGTCATTGTTTAATTTTAAATGGAGTAGTCAGACTGAATTTGTAACTTTTCAATGAATTAATACTTTATTTCTCTTGAACTTAGTTCACGATGTGACCAAAGCGAAAGACTACTGTGCTTGACTTAATAGAGCCGGCCAGTTTCCACGAGACATCAGCTTCAAGCACAACTGCAAACATTTACTGAAGGGACATTCCTGTTATAACCGTGTAGCTAGCGCTCAAAAAAGACAACACATCAGATAAACGCGAGAAGCCTTTTTTTTGGATGGCTTGGTGTCATGGTCCAACCTTGTCACAGAAAAGATATTAGGGAGTAATATTATGTCTGATGGTCAATGCCCTCAACAAGGTTGATCTTGCGAAGTGCAAAATCCACCTTGGTGAAGCAAACCAACATTATTTGTACAAAAACGATACTTGCAACTATCAACTTAATGACTAATCCGATCTTTTAAACGTAAACACAATCAAAATAAACTATAAAAAATCTGTGTAAAGGCTTGCAAGTAATGTTGCACAAATAAAACGATAGTGCATAAAACAAGCGTCTTGATTTTTAGAAACATGGATGAATTTAAGTTGAAAATCACAAAAATAAGAGCAAAAGAACTACATCTGACCACGCGATGAGATAAAAAAAACGGGGCAAGCGGAACATAAACTGCGTAGAGGTTGAAGAAAAGCTTGATTTTGCAAGACCGATCAGAGGTTGTGGACTAAAAAATGTACATACTTTTCCACAAGAACCTAGGAAGATAGAAAACCTAAGTTCTCCAATGACATGCGGAAACCTAAAAGGCGAATTTTGATTCGCAGTAAACATAGTGAAACATTTAGTGAGAAGGCAATAATAGGAAAAAAGACATTTGCACTTACGATAATGCGAAACAAATAGGAGGCACATCGAAAAATTTTGAAGTGAACACGTGCTCGAGAAGACCGCTGTTTATAGATTTTCCTTTGCTAAAGTTGTCCCCAGGCAGAGCCGCCTTACGGATTGAAAGGATGAAATAGGCCGAGGAGTAGGCGGGAAATTCCTGGGCTTACTGCAGAAAGTACTTATGGAGGTGAGAGTAATGGCGTGACGGTTTTGTCCCAATTGGATAGACTTCACAACGCACAAACCAACGAACTATAGATAAATTTGTGACTGAGCTTCCGCCCCCCTCGAATGGCGCTATATTTTCGATGCAGATGGGCACAGTACGAATGACTTTTGTCATCTAGGTATAACTATTTTTCTAAAAGTTACTTCACAACTACGGTCTGTAAAAAGTGACATACTTCAGGAAGTAGGGTTCGAACTATCCTGTTGAAAAATGAGATTCGGGTTTTCAGATACGATTCGCGTTCGAAGAAGTTGGCTAACATCGGATTCCGTTGGAGTCCGAGTTGGTATTTACAGGGGCATTCATTTATATAGACCCCTGTATGCATTTATATAGACCCCTGTATGCATTGAAATATATTCTTCGGGCACCAAGGCAATTGCATTCGCATAAATTCTCCGGATGTTTATGAGTGTAGGTGTATTTCTTTATGCAGGCACAAATGACGACCGCTTTCTCGAGTAATTGATATTTTTCATGATACTTGAAACGGTGGACCGTGACGTCGACACCTGCAGGATTCCCAATTCCTGAACGATTTCTCTCTCGGTC